GCGTCCAGCTTCGGCTCAGGTCATGACCTCATGGTTAGTGGGTTCAAGCCCCGTGTCAGGCTCTGTGCTGACAGCTCGGAGCCTGGAGCCTGCTTTGGATTCTGTGTCTCCCTCGTTCTCTGCCCCTCCTCTGCCCACACTCTGTCTCTCTCTCTCTCTCTGTCTCTCTCTCTCAAAAATAAATAAAACGTTGAAAAAAAATACATCTTTGAAATGAAATGAGTTACACACCCCTAAGTGCCTTAAAGGGTTAACCTGACTAAATGCCCAGAGTTTCAAGAAAATGAATTGCCACAGTGGGTGGGGTGTGGCTATCGGAGGTGAGAGAAGGAGCCAGAGTTCAGAGGTCAGGAAGGGAATGGGGGTGGGGGCAGCTGGGCTGGAACTGAAGCTGAGGAGAAGGAATGATAAGGAACAAATGGCAGGGAGGCCAAAATGTCTCTGAGGCCCACAAAAAGTGTGGGTTCCCTCCCTGAGTGTGATCAAATCTGAAGAGGTGGCCAGGCTCCAAATTTGATTCTGAGCCAGTGGAAGACAGTCTCCTTGAACTTGGGGGCCTCTCTGGGGACTCCCTTTTCCTTAGGTAAATATGAAGGATGGCAGTCCTCCTGGCTCGCCCCTGCTGTCCAAAGCTGCGCTGTCCCGAAGGAAAACAAGCATCACTCCAACCTGAGGTTCAGGGACTGTGGTGAGTCCCCTGGCTGCCACTGGCCCAAAGTTGACAGAGAAAACAGGTTCCCAGGCCAGAAATCTTGTGCGACAGTCCCCCAGTCTCTTCAGCCCCCAACCCTGACCGTGTGTAGCCCTTGGAGGCCCGGACGGATACCCTGGGGGGGCTTCTGGAGAGGAGCTGGGGGCTCTGGGGCTGTTTACTTGCTCCTCTTTCCTAGGAGCTTGGAAACCCTCCAGGGTGGGAGTCCACACTTGATTCATATGAAATTAATTCATTCACATATTTAGCACACATTTGCTGAGCTCTATGTTCCAGTCACAACAGAGAAAAAGCTCCCGTACTCTTGATACTTGCTTTTTTGTGGTGGTGGGGGTGGGGGGGGGTGGGGTGCCGATCAGCAGTAAAGTGGTAGCAGACAAATGAAGAAAAGGGACATGTGCAGTGTATGACGCATACACATTGGAAACCTCCTGGCGAACTGGTGGAGAATAATTGGGTGCGTGGGGGTGGCGGTGGGGCTACATCACACTGCATGTCAGGAAAGGTCAGTCTGGGAAGAGGAGATATTTGCATTGAGACCCCAGGGATGAGAAGGGACCAGTCCCATAAAGTGCACAGGGAACAGTCCAGGCAGAAGGGATGTCGTGTGCAAAGCCCAGAATAGAAATGGGATTTGCCCATCCAAGGAACAGAACATTCTTTAGGTCACTGGGCCTCAAGCTTGGGGAGCAAGGGGGAGGTGAAGCCACAATCCATCACAGAAGTCGTGCTCGTGTGAAAGCCCGGAGTTAAACTCCACGGGCAGTGGGGAAGGACTCCATGCCAAACTGTGGATGTAATATTCTGTTGTCCCAAAGAGAGACTTGGGAACTTTCATCAGATTTCCCAAGAGACCTATGATTCCCTCTTCCCCAAACACTAGTAACACCCGACTTCGAGGGAGAAGACAAGCCGCGGGCCCTTCAGAAAGACGCAGTTTGCAGGGCTCAGAACATTCTCTGGGAATCTTCGGGAGTAGTAGGCAACATTGAGTGCCCCCCAAATACGGTACAAACAAAAACAAAGAAACGTGGAGAGACATGTCGGCGTTGGGACAGTTGGGGCTCTCATGCTACAAAACCCAGTTCCCAAACACCTGGGCGGCCAGTTAGACATGCTTAAGAATTGTGAGGACTTCTTCCTCTCATTTATACAAACATGTCTAGAAGGTTTCTGAAATCTAAGTGTTCCACACAGACAGCTGAAATCCCCTACAACTGTGCCCCCACTTCCCCTAAACCAGTTTTGCAAGGGGCTCTGTGTCCTGGGGATCCCCTCTGTCCACATAGGCCCCAGGCCCCAGAGGCGACGCCCACTTTTGCGGGGAGCTCCTTTCTCAGCCGGCCCCGCCCACTGCGTGCCCCACAGCCCTCCCGCCCAAATCACCCCAAAGATGTGCGCGTTCCATTTGGAAGGACTTGGACTTGTTAATTAACCTGAACAGTCACATTGGTCTGCAAGGTGCTTTGTTGTTAATTAAAGCTGAGATTCTCCTTGTGCCCAGACGGCGGCTGCTGTTGTCAGAATAATTAGATAGCATGCGATGGTTTTCATGCAAATCCCTGGCAATTAGAGCTGGTGAGGAATTGGGTTTGAGATCCCAGGGAAGTCTTCCATCAGAATTCCTCCGAGGGCCGCCCCTGGGGGAAGGCGATGATGATGATGGGGCTGTGGGGTTCGGGGTTGGGAAAAAGGGTGTGAGGTCAGGTATCTGTTTCCTACATCTTCTGGGAGGGGCCCCAGCCTGGACTGTATGAACCGTGGGCCTCAGTGTTCCTCAGTGTTCCTCAGTGTTCCTCAGTGTTCCTTCCTGAGGCAGTGCGGAGGGATCCTCCCCAGGGCCTGGCCTGCTCCCAGAGCTTGCCTCCTGCTCCCCTATTTCTGAGAGGATTGTTCCTTTAGCCCAGGGGCCCAGTAACTCATACACGGCTAACGTCCCTGCCAACCCTAAGATTAAATTCTGAAGGGTTCTAAGGAAACGGGATCTGGATGCTTGAGGGGTCGCTGAAAAGATGCCACATTCAGAGCAGTTTGGGGGAGGTTGGCAGCATGAGGTGGGTCCAATGGCCTGGGGTGGCAGGACTCCAGGAGAGCCTTGAAGAAATGGCCACGGTCAGGATCAGGCTCACGGAAGGCGTATCCCAGGGCAGTACACGGTACCGGAAGGGCCGCCCAGAGGGACTGGGTTGGGATGGGGCGGAGATAAGTGTGGGGAGGCCGCTCCAACCTCCCAGACCTCTTATCAGCCACCGGCTTCTGCCTCCGCCTTTGCTTGGTGAGAGATGTGATAGGGGGGGCCTGTCTGGGTTTCTCTCCAGCCAGACCCAGCAGGAGCCGTTTCTGTCTGGAGGCCCGGCCGGGGCTGGAGGGCACAGCCCCGGGGGCTTAAAGACAGCCTCCACGTGCATCAGATTACCCTGGAAGGCTCAGCGAAGGCAAACACCCTCCCCTGCCTCTCAACTAGGTCAGCCTGGCATCCAGGGCCCCGCGAGGGGCTGGGTGATGTCCAGTAAGACGGGGAGAGGGCAGGGCTGGCGGGTCCCCAGGAGCCGCTGCAAAGGGGGTAAGAGAGAAAAGCCTGTGACGTCTTCACGACCGGTGGTTGGAGGCCTTATTATAATTTAGGTTTGTAAATTCTCTGGTTTTCCTGCATTTTTCTCGTCTCTCCTTTCGGTCTCAGAACGCGCCTCCCGGGGCTCCACCGGCCCTAAGTCCCGCCTTTCCACTTAGGATGTACCAATCCGCAGCTAGCCTGGTGGTTGCTAGGAGACAGGAGATTGTGGGGTGGGGGGCGGGCGGATTTCGAGGCTTTGTCACGCACCCACCCAGGAAAATCCCGGAGCCTGTCTGCCGCCTGCCTGGGCTGTTCTAGCTCCCACCTGCTCCTCTCCTGCACTCTCCTATTTATCCCCGAGCCCGGAGAGTCCAGCAGAAACGGTGTAGGGGAAAACCAGGTTAGCCTGCGTCTTTAGGAAGCGGAAAGGCGGTGTCCGGATTCAGACAGGTGGGGAAGGTACCCTCTCAAGTTTCCCCAGCTTTGAATTGGGTTGGAGGGAGAAACTCGTTTTTGTGTGTGGCATCTTGGGTAGAGGGTGAATTTGTTGGTAGCAGAAGTTGTTCTGCTTATCCGGTGGCTTCTGACCATGGCCCAAACTTGGAGGAAAAAGCCCCCAGGGTCAGGATCATGCAGCTGGGGGGGGGGGGGGGGGGGGGGGGGGGGTATCGGGGGGAGAGGCTCCCAGGGCACCGGGGTGTGGTGTAGAAGGTGGAGGGAAAGACTTGTGGGGCGAGAAAGGTTCATTTCAGGAGCCGGGGTTTGAAAGGGAAATTTGGGGGATTCTAAGCAGAAGATGAGTCAGATCAGGCCCCTCCCTTTGAAGTGTCTCAACCTTCTGGACTTCTTGATGTTTCGTTCCCGCTACGCATCCCACACAGAAAAGACTCAGCACAGAAGCCGGGGGAAAGGAAACTCATTTGGGCAAGGACTGAGTCATAAATCCTGATTCCACGTCCTGAAAACCAGGACGGAGAGGGGGACAAAGTGGAAGGAAGGGTCTGAGAGAGGCCAGAGCTGGCACACAGAGCTCCGCGAGCTGCACGCGGACGAGTGGTATCTCATGCCTGCACCCAGCATGGATGGGTCCCTACAGATAGAGACAGATGTACACCCACGTGAGCACGCACACACACACGCACGCACGCACACGCACGGGGATTAGGGTCCTGCCGAGAAACAAACTTCAGAGAGATGATTCCTGGGAAGTGGCTTTGGGAATTCTCTCGAACGAACGTTCCCGGACTAAGTGAGGTCCCCCAGGATGCCTCTCTCCTCCATGCCCACCACCCTGATCTCTACGCAAAGCCAACAGGTGTCGGATAGCAGGCGGAGAGGAAGGCGGGACGAGCCAGCCAGGGTGGGGAGTCACGTTCTTGGCTCGCTTTCCCTCTTCTCCGTCTTTCTCTCTCTGGGGCCCATGGTCTCTATCCCTGCTCTTCCGCAACAGTTTCTCTTCCTTCCTCATCTGCTAAGCCATCTCTCCGAGTTGTTCAGGGGTAGCGGCCCCCCCTCATTCTCTGGTGCCTCTTCTCCTTGCCTTTGAGATAGCAGTAGCCTCTAGAGAGAACATCTGTGCGCCCTGAGGGTGTTTGCACACTTTCTCCCCAGGTCAGCTAGAGAAACAGACGCTGGCCCGGAAGTCCGGTGTGAAATCCCTCCCTCTCTCCCTCTCCCTCTCCACCCTCCTTCCTCTCCTCTGCGTCCCCGGATAAAACGAGAAACCAGCAGCTTGGTAAAAGTAGCGTGGACTTTAATTCAGGTTGACAGGTGCGAAGGGAGCTGGGACTTGCCTCCCGGGGGGTCCAGATGAGAAGGCCGTCTTAGCGAGAGAGGCAGGGAGGGCAGGGGCGTGCGGGTGGTCTGGTGGTAGAACAGGGCCAGGAGCAGGGGCGTGGCCACACCGTGGAGTATCGCCAGGGCCTCTGCCAGGTGCAGGAGCAGGTCCAGAGCCTGCTGGGCCGGACACGTCGACAGTACCAAGGACTTGGACCTCACAAGAAAGTCCAAGCCCAGAGCCACCCCGTGAGGCCACCAGAAAACAAACCAGACCCACAGGACACTAACGCAGGGACCTGGCCGCCTGCCCCACGCTTTCGTCAGCGCCTTGGTACCTATCAAGCCCAGTGGCAACAAGGTGAAGGCGGTAAAGCTGGCCACCACGTGCAAAAGCGGCAGAAACCTGGGGCTGTCGTTGAAGCTCAGGGAGCAGAGTCCACGGGAGGTGCCACTGGCCAGCGTGACGGGCAGCCCCAGGAGAAGAGCCGCTCCCCAGAGTCCCACAGTGAGCCACAGGGTGATGCCCGCGACGTGGCCCACATCCAGTTTGGGGCCCAGGCAGGCGTGGCACCCAATCAGCAGAGCCTGGGCAAAGGCTGAGCCGTACCAGAGCAGGTGTGCCAGGCGGCACAGGGCTGTGCTCTGCACCCCGTTGAGCCCCGGGGCCAGGATGGGCACCACGACACTGAAGAGGGTGCTGCCCGCGGCCAGCTGTACGAGGACCGGCCGCTCAGGGCAGACCCGCCAGTGGAAGAGAGGCCTGAGAAGCGCAAAGAGCACGGCTCCCCCCGCAAGGATGCCCAGGACGCTGGCGAGGACGAAGAAGGGCAGAGAGGAGTCGTCGAGCAGGGGGCAGGAGCGGCAGGGGGCGGCGGCTTCCACAATGCTGTAGTTGTAGTTCATGTCGTAGGAGTCATTAAACTCATCCCAAATATCTTCTCCCAAGGTGAACTTTGTAGCGTCCTCATCCGCCACCTGGAGGGCATCCCCAAAGGGGACAATCAGATCATCGGCTTACCCCACTGAAGAGTCCGGGGGAATGAGGGCAGGGAGAGGGGGACAGGTGGAGTGGAAGCAGGGGGGACAGTGGGAGAGGCCGGCACAGGGAGCCCCGGAGCCTGGGAGGGAGGGGCAGGGGAGGGGACCGGAGAGCACCGCAAGAGTTGGACGATGTCAGGGCCGGGGTGCAGGGCCGGGGCGCCCGGGACCCGGCTGGAAGTGAGGGCGATGATGGTGGGGGGGCCCCAGGAGACCAGAGTGGGAGGGAGCAAAAGGAAGAAGAGGGAGGGTGAGAGACGAGGAGAGAAGGAAAGGCGTATGAAGACCACCGAGGGGCCGACAGAAAGACGATGGGCCAAGAGGTGGGGGGGCCGCGGGCCTGGCCCCGCACTCACCCGGTGCTGCAGACAGTTCCCCATGGTGCCGCTGAGCTCAGAGCAGGCAGAGGCAAGGGCCGGGGACGTCCTGTCGGTGACTGTGGCTCCAAGATAAGTGCCAGGGACTAATGAAGGCCATCAGTTCTGGGCAGGGCCATGGGCCAGGCGGCGGGGGGGGGGGGGGGCGCGGGAAAGTCAGGAAGCCTTTGCCCCACGCCCATTGCCTGTCTCGGCCTCAGGCCCGCGGGGGGCACCAGCCCAGGGCTTCCTGTTTTGAGGTTGGATTCCGCCAGTGGGTCCTGCACTCGGGAAAGGAAAAAGGTGGCGACCAGATAGTGGGTATTTTCCCACAGGTGGCAAGGGAGGCTGAGAAGCCAGGGGGCTTTCCAGCCAGGACGGATCCTTCAGGCACAAGGAAGGAAGAGAGGGCCAGGGGTTACGCGCAAGACAGAGATAAGAGACGTGCTGGGCAAGTGAAGGGAAAGGACAGTCGGTGACTCTCGCTGCTGCTACATCCCCTTGAACTGGATCCAGGGCGACATGTTTGTGTGTGTGGGGGGGGGGGGGCGGGCCAGTGGGGCCTGGGGTTGGATCCTGGGGGCGCTCGCAGCCTGAGGGGCCCGTGCACCTGTCTGTGTGGTTGGCTGCGTGCCGTGCGCCCCGCGCACGGATCTGAGTGCTGGGTGTCAGGCAGGCGTCTGGCCGGTCCGGTGTGAGTAGGGGAAGGGCTGGGGGGCAGTTGCCCAGGCTGCACGATGAAGCTGCTTCGGGGAGCGGCTGGGTGTCTGTCTGGCCACCTGTGGGCGCGGTGAATGCATTCTCCATGCAAGCACCACACACAGCGTGATGAGTCAGAGCAGCCCCTGGGGGAGGACGGGACAAGATTTTAAAAATGCTGCCTATGGGGTCATCTCTGTTCATACTTCTGTCGGGGGCCGTCACGCCTCTGGCGCTGCTACGCTGGGCTGGCGTCCTACCAAATGTGAAGTTTCTCGCAGGGCTGGGGGCTTCAATGGCTCTCGGGCTGGTAGAGGGAAAGCATCCGCTCTACGGACGCGTCCCCCTGAGCCAAGGCCTCTGTTCTTCCGCTGCCCCTTCCCCTCCGCCGCTTCTCACGGTCTCTGCTGTTTCGTTCCCCACCCCTGCATTTTACTCTCTCTTGGGTGGGGAGAGGGCCCAGACGTTGGGAGGGGGGAGTCACGGAGCATCGGAGTCAGAAGGATGAGATAGGGGCCCGTTAGGTGACACTATTTCATTCCAAGAAAGCATGGGATGTTTTCACTCAGTGTCACCAGGTGGCTCTTTCTCATCTATATTGGGGTGCGTGCGGCCAGAGGGGGGAAGCAAAGACACACGGGGGGGGTCCCTCACACAGATGGTCCCCATTCCCCCCAGGGTGCCAGCTCAGTTCAGGTTCAACGTGAGCGGGTTGGACAGTGGCTCTGGCGGGGGCTGGGGGGAGGGGGTCTCTCCTGCAGTGGGGTTGACGGTGCCTCTGATTCCATCTCCTCCAGCACCGCCGGGCAGAGGGCAGCGGGGAGCAGTCCAGGGCCCCACCCCGCACACTCTGGAAGGCACGGACCCAGCCCAAGGGGGGCGAACACCCTTCTCTCCCTTGGAGAGTTCTGTTGTTTCCATCACAGATGCCCTCGGGCGAGCGGCCCGGCAGGTGCAGGGGACACCGGCAGAAGCCCTTACACGCACACATCCCCACGGGGGCAAGGGCAGGAAGAAGGAGGCAGCCGGACGACACGGATAATCCAGATATATTGAGGGTGGCCCCTCTGAGATCAGCACAGGAGAGTTAGAAAGATTATAAAGATACACGATCCCCTCCCTGCTCCCGTCCCCCCACCCCACAGACAGACACACACAGCACGACGCCCCCTCCCCCCGCCCCCCCGTACAAATATGGCTTCTGTGTAATATGGACAGGGTGGTTCAGCTCAAAGAGGAAAGGTCATTTTCCCAAAAGCGGGTGCTGGGAGACAGGGAGCCCACGGGCCTGGGGCCCTGGGCCGCCTTGCTGCTGTGAGGTCGGGGGCGCCCCGGCTCAGGCGGGGGTGCCTGTGGTGCCCGAGGGCCCTGACCAGCGGCTGGAAGATTCGCGAGGGCATTACCTGAACTGAGGGGGGTGTGGGCAGGCCTCAGGGAGGACGTGCTGGAGCGGGGAGCGGGGCCAAGGGGCTCTGGCTCTGAGGCAGGGCGCCCCCAGCAGGACAGGGAGGGTGCGCTACCTCATCTCCACGGCAACAGAGGAAGACAGAAAATCAAAGGCAGGGGTGGAGATGGGAAGGAGAGGGGCTTCAGCCCCAGCGCCCGCTGAGCAGGGTAGCGACTACGCACGGGGCGGGGAGAGAAGTGACCGTGGCCATTCCAGGGTCAGTGCCGGGGACAGGCCTGAGGCGTGCATAGCAAAGGCTGTGGCACTGACTCCATGGCTCTGAGAAGGGAAATCGAGGCAGGGTTTGGATGCTCCGTGTCTGAGGGAGAGACGAGATGGACAGCCGAGCAAAACACATTCTGGGACTGTTCTCTCCGCGACGGGCGGGCACCGAGGGTGGCCTGGGACGTGCGGGGATGCGGCGGCAGCCCAGGCGAGGGACGCAGCCCGACCAGGGCTCCCCTGCCCCCGAAGCCCTTCCTTCGCCGTCCTGCCGCCTCCCACCCGCCCGCCTGCCCCGGGGCCCTCTCTCTGTCTCTCTTTCACACGCGCGCGCACGCGCGCACACACACACACACACACACACACGTGCACACACACAGACACAAGCACAGACACGACAACCACACCCCCGCAGAGTTCACATCACTCCCCTCGTCTGGGCAGGAAACAGCTCAGTGCAGTGAAGCTCCTTTTAGTATTTTTGTTGTTATGTCTGCCTGGCTGCTGAGGGGACAGGAAGGGGTGCAGGCGGCACAAGCCGGGGAGGAGTGGTTGCCGAGCGACAGTCAGGGCTCGGGGCTCGGGTCAGCGCGAGGGGCCCGGAGCGGCGCCGCTCCCACAGCTGCCGGAGCCAGGAGGGGACAGCCTTCCTCTGCGCCGCCCCCGAGGGGCCCGGCTTCCCCGGCCGTGGAGGGGGCCCAGGGGTCCACGCCATCTCTGCCATCCTTCCTCTGCCTCTGCGAGGTCCTCTGCCAGGACCCACGCCTCCTCACGGGGGGGGGGGGGGCCTGCATCCGCCCCGGGGCGAGGCCCGGGGTCCCTGCCTGGCTGCCTGCCACCTGCAGGTCACGCCTCCTCGGGACCCTCCCCCCCCCCCCAGCTCGCCCCTCTCCCGCCGTGGTGGAGGAGGGGGGAGGCGACGGGGCGGCGCCTGGTTCCCTGTCCCCAGCTCGAGGTGTGCGGCTGGCCAGCAGAGGGAGGGCCCCCTGCGGCTCCCGCCCACCACCTCCCCATCCCCTCCCCGGAGAAAGCCAGGTGGAGGACGCGGGGCTGGAGAGGGCACCCGCCCCCCCACCAGCCCGGCTCAGAGCCCTGTCCTTACCCCTCCGCCTTCGCCCTCCTCCTAACACTCCAGGGCCTTTAGCTTTCCTCACCCCGGGGCCCCTGCCCCTCCAGCCTGGAGACGGATTTGATTTGGGATTCTTATAAAAATAATAATAACCCAAACGCAGAGAAGCCACGGAAAGGGCTGAGGGCAACCCTCCCTCCCCCCCGCCCTCCTCCCTCCCCATTCCAAACCGAGTACAAAACCGCACCCGAAGCAGACATTCTGTACAGGGGGGTGGGGGGGGCCGGGGAGCAAGCGGGAGGGGCGGCCCTGGGGTCGCTCTGTACAAGTCCAGGTTGGCGATGGCCCCGGCAGTCCCCGCGGGGCCCCTGGGGGCGTAGGAGGTGGCTGGGCGCCTCTAGATGAAATACTCCTTCTTGTCATCCCCGCCCGACTGCCCGCCTTCTGCGTGGATGATGGCTGTGTCTGCATCTGGGGCGTCATCCGAGCCTTTGGCCTCGTGTGTCAGGTAGGTTCCTGGGGAGAGGCAGTTTCCACACCTCTGAAGCCCCCTGCCCCGGCCTCGCCCACCCACCGCACCTGCTCCTAGAGCCTTCTTCCCCGCCCGACCCAGTTTGCATCTTGCTGTCAACATCCATCACCTGACCACGCCCCTGCGAATTAATGAATGCTAACCTTAATTAGAATCTCATTTATAATACAGGCAAAAAAGCGTGCGTGTTAGTGCATGTTCGTGTACGCATGTACACATGCATGTGTGTGCATGTGAGTATGTGTGTGTATAGGTGCGTGTGTGTGTGCCTGTATGCATGTGTGTGCACGCGAGTATATGTGTGCACGTGTGTATGTGTGTATGCATGTGCATGCATGTCTGCACATGTGTGCTCAAGCGTGCATGCACCTGTGTATATGAGTACGCATGTATGTACACGCGCGTGCCTGTGTGTGTGCATGCGTGTGCACCTGCGTGTGGAATGTGTACCTGTGTGTATGTGTGCATGTGTGTATGCACATGCGTGCATAAGCATGTATGTGTGTACATCCTGTGTGCATGTGTGTGTGCACCTGCATGTGGAACGTGTACCTGTATGTGTGTGTCTGCATGTGTGCATAATCATGTATGTGTGCACATCCTGTGTGCATGTGTATGTGTGTACCTGTGTGTATATGTGTGTGTGTGCACCTGAATGTGGAACGTGTATCTGTATGTGTATGTGTGCGTGTGTGTGTGTCTGCACATGTGTGCATAATCATGTATGTGTGCACATCCTGTGTGCATGTGTGTGTGTACCTGTGTGTGTGTGTGTGCACCTGCTTGTGGAACGTGCACCTGTATGTGTATGTGTGCCTGTGTGTGTGTGCGCATGTGTGCATAAGTATGTATGTGTGCACATCCTGTGTGCATGTGTATGTGCGTACCTATGTGTATATGTGTGTGTG